ACAGTCACATGGTGGTGCTGCATAGTGGTACATACACATATCTAAGCATTAGCACAAACCAGGGCAGCACCGCCCACCTTCCTGCTGCTACAGAAAGCATTTTTGCCCCCTTCTCCTTGTCTTCACAGCAGCTGCATGAAGGGATCAGGAACAACTGTGTCTGGTGCTTATTTGCTAAAAACTCCTGATTGCAAGTTTCTCACTCTCCCCTAGGGAACAAGTACCCGTCAGTTCAGAGTGGAGCCCTAGTGGCCCATCTGGACAGGCCTGACACTGGAAGAAAGGCCTTTGTCTTCTCCTCCTCCAGACAGCTCTGCTGTGTAGGTCCACACCTTACTCAGAATCACTACACATTCCTTTAGTCTTCCTCCAAGCTCCAGAGCCATTGGTACAAATGCTTTATTGAGAAAAAGTATATACTACATACATGACATCATGAAAACAGGAGACAGCCTGGAAATAGTTCCCTGGCTGGTTGAGGCAGCTCCGTGGCTGAACCTAGTCTAGCCAACCCACAGGCAAGAGTTCACTCTGACTTCGAGATTTGATGCTTATTCTTTGGATTTCTACAATTATTAAATCCGTGTCTGAGTGGTCTGCCTTTCTCCTTTGTGTTGTGAGGGTTGACTGGGGCAACGTGGGATGGTTGGTTGTCCGTGGCATCTGGTTTGCAGTAAGTGCTGGTGGAGGTGGATTGTAGTGTATTGCCGTCTCTGCTCCCACAAGGAGACTCCACCCCTAACTGTACCTAGGAGGTACTTTGGCCCTCTCTGCTGTCAGGTCAAGGATGGGGAAGTTCACCCTGTTGCTGCGGAAGTCAGTCAACACTGTCTAGGATGAGGTCTGGTTGTAATGTAGTCATATGAAGGTAGATCCGCCTGGATAGTTCTGGCCCGACACGGCGGGAGGTAGATGTCACACCTTCTCCACGGCGTACCTGTATGTCAGCCAGCAAATTCTGACGTTCTTGCTCAGAAAAACACCGCTGATAAGCCTGGAAGTGGCAAATGACCTTTTAACCCCATACTACCCACCCACCCATGGCCATCCCTTGGTGGTCAGGTCAATTTGAGGCAGAAGAAAATGTCCCAGACCAGATAACCCACACTGCTGACCTACATTCCTAGCCCATCAATAGAAGCTCCCTTGGGAATTCTGGAGAGTGAGGCCCCCATAGCAGTATACCTGCACCAGGAGCCGTGGGGAGGGATAGGCATCCACAATAGCGCTGGCCATTTCCAGACTGACTCGGTTCAGCTGCTGAATCTGCCTCCTCCAGATCGCTGCAAGTCCCTTACCAGCTGGGTCCACTTTCATCCCTCCAGCCCAGTCTTTCTCCAGGCAGAAGGAAAAGCTGGTTTGATTCCGGAGCTTCCTACAAGAGCACCACTGGGGACCTGAGTTCCTCTCCTACTTATTTGTCCCCTCAACTGTGGACTGAGTTCTCCAGTGACCTGGAGGTAGACTTAGTCTTACATCAGGCCAGTTTGCGTCTCTTTGTTCTCAAGCATAGTGCTGGTTGCAGATTCCCATAAAAACTGCATTTAGTTGGGGGTGGGATGGGGCAGGAGAGGTGGTGACTCAGCAGTTAAGAGCCCTGACTGCTCTGCCAAAGTAGATTTGATTCCCAGCACTCACAGGGCAGCTCACTATTACCTGACTCCAAAACCAAGGGCTCTGATGCCCCCCCCCCCCTGCCCTCCTTAGGCATTGCACACACATGCAGGCAAACACCCATAAACATAAAAAGGAAAAATTGCATCTGGGGCCCAGGAGAGTAACTGAGTGGGTAAAGTGCCGCATCTGTAGCCCCAGAGCTACAGGGGGGTTATGGGATATGAGACAGGATCCCTGGAATCACAGGCCAGCTAGCCCTACATATGCAGTGGCAAAGGAGTTCCTGCATTTTCAGTAAGACCTGAACCTGAGGTTATTGCCCAGTCTCATACACGTGCATGCACACATATATACACGCGCAAAAAGATTAAAAAACAACCCCTGATGCCGGGCGATGGTGGCTCACGCCTTTAATCCCAGCACTCGGGAGGCAGAGGCAGGCGGATCTCTGTGAGTTCGAGACCAGCCTGGTCTACAGAGCTAGTGCCAGGACAGGCTCCAAAGCCACAGAGAAACCCTGTCTCGAAAAACCAAAAAAAAAAAACCGTTTCTAGTCCTTTTCACTAGAGAAGGTAATAGTTTTTTTTTCCCTGATGTTAAGGTGGGGTTGTAGGCAAAGGGGACTGAGTAATGGGCAATTTGGATACTATTTGTGGTTCTCACTTCCTGGGGGCTTCAACAGCTCAATCTCAGTTCTCCATTCCTTTAATATAATAAAGCACCTGAACAGGGTTGTCTCTGAGGTCCATGAGCTTACAGTTCTGACTAGGATCATTCAAGATCTGACCTGAATGAATCCTAGTAATCCAGCATCAACTTATACAATAGATTTGCCTCTAAGTTAAAGAGAATATTTTTAAAAAGGGCTGGAATTTAATGTGTATGAGTGTTTGCCTCCATGTATATATGTGTATTACTTACTTGTCTGGTGCCCTCACAGGCCAGAAGAGGGTCTTACAGACAGTTGTGAAGTGCCATGTGGGTGCTAGGAACAGCCTGGGTCCTGTGCAAGAGCAGCAAGTGTTCTTAACCACTGAGCCATCTCTTCAGCCCCCTAGATATGAGGCTTTTGCCAAGGCTCTCCAGCATAAGATAGGGTTCTGCCTAAAAACAGGCACTGGGGAGCTGGGGGGGGGGGGCTGGAGAGATGGCTCAGAGATTAAGAGCACTGCCTGCTCTTCCAGAGGTCCTGAGTTCAATTCCCAGCAACCACATGGTGGCTCACAACCATCTAATGAGATCTGGTGCCCTCTTCTGTTCTGGTGGCATCCATGCAGATAGAACACTGTATCCATAATAAATAAATAAATCTTAAAAAAAAAAAAAAAGGCACTGGGCTTGTGGCAGTTTAGGAGAAAGGCACATTTTCTCTGGCTCTAAGAACCAAGGGAAAAGCGAGACCTAGAGTGGAGGGCATCCTCCCAGTCACTTACTTAAAGGGAGCTTCGGCCACAGCCTTTGTAAATGCACAGGTAAAGTCAGCCAGCTCTTTCCAGCTCTGCACCATCTGAGCCTGGGCTTCTGTATGTAGCTGCAGATCCACCAATGCCTAGGAAGAGTGGAGAGACTGGTTGGAAGCCTTCTCAGTGCTCCCTGAAGCTACTCTGAACCTCTTGGCTCCATTTCCCCCTTTCCTACTCAATCCAAGGCAGACAGAAGTGCCAGTGAGCCTTTTATTGGTCTCAGTTGGAAACCTAGTTAGAGAAGAGTGAGCACTCACCTGACCAGGGCAACAGGATTTTTGTTTTGTTTTGTTTTTGTTTTTATTGAGATATTTTTCTCTGCTCCCCTCCCTTCCTCCTCTGTCCCCTTCTACCCTCTCCCGTGATCCCCCATGCTCCCAGGCAAAAGGATTTCTTACCTCTTCCATGTCTAACCTGGACACCATGAGCCTTGTGCTAGACTCTTGTCTCTTCTGCTGCTTCTCTTTAGCCTGTTTATTTGCCATTCCTGATTTCCTTTTCCTTGGCGGATTCTGAGCCCTGGAACAGCAGCCCAAAACTGAGCCAGGCAAAAGTGTTGCCGGACTATTGACCAGCACAGCCTATGGCTTGTCAGGGACACCATCTTGCAGAATGCCTTGCAGCCAGGGTGAACAAGCTCCCCCTTGATAACCCACGACCTGCCCCTTTAAGGCCTGTATCTATAGGGCATAGCCATACCTGAAGCATTTCTCCTGATCCACTATCACCAGTGACAATGCTTTCCCTGTCTTTGCTGTGACATCAGTTACAAAGCCCCGAAGTGTCTCCTTCCCTTTCTCGGTAATGCTGGTACTTCCCTGCATAAAGTGGCAGAAAGGGCATTAACACTAATTCCTTGGGAAGAGGCTGGCACCATTCTACCCCCGGCCCCGCACACCTGCTTTCCGTTGTAGACCATGGACATGAAGGCCTCTGCCAGGAGCAACACCAGGACGGTCGGCTCTTCCACCCAGTCTACTCCATCCTGCCAAAGACGAAGAACACAGCATGGGGAAGGTCAGCGGCTGTGGTTCCTGTGGGCGAGCTGGATCTTCCGGGGGAATGGCCCTGTATCTTTCCTTCTTGAATGATGTCGTGGTGACAAGAAAACCCACCTGTGGTCCAGTCCCTCCATCCCTTGACTGTCCAGCGCTATTCCCTGCATCTCAGAGACAGAGTATGAACATGGGCAAGATGATTCGGGGGCTAAAAGTACTTGACACACAAGGCTGAGGACTGGAGTTTGATGCCAGGAACCCATGTAAAGGTGGAAGGAGAGAAGTGAGATGCCACAAAGTTGTCCTCTGGCCTCCACATGCACCATGGCACACATACATGTACACAACAATAACGCATTTTTAAAGTTGGGAGTAGTGGGGAGCTGGAGAGATGGCTCAGAGGTTAAGAGCACTGACTGCTCTTCCAGAGGACCCAGGTTCAATTCAATTTCCAGCATCCACATGGCAGCTCACAAATATCTGTAACTCTAGTTCCAGGGGATCTGACACCTTCACACCAAAGCACATTTGGGGAAAAAAAAAAAAAAAGCCGGGAGTGTGGCACACACCTTTAATCCCAGCTCTCAGAGGCAGAGGTAGGAGGATCTCTGTGAGTTCAAGGCCAGCCTGGTCTACATAGAGAGTTCCAGGGCAGTCAGGGTTACACAGGGGAACCCTGTCTCAAAATTCAATTTTTTTAAAAAAAGAAGAAGAGGAAGAGGAAGAAGAGGAAGAGGAAGAAGAAGAAAGAAGAAGAAGAAAGGATTGCCAAGCATGGTGGCAAATGCCTTTAATCTCAGCACTTGGGAGGCAGAGAGGCAGGTGGATCTGAGTTTAAGGCCAGCCAGGGCTACATAGAGAGACCCTATCTCAGAAAAAGGGGGTCGGGGCATTGGTGCTGTGTATATAGGCAGCTCAACAGTAGAGTGTTTGCCTAGTATACATAAAGCCCTGGGCTCCATCCCCAGCACTACCAGGGAAAAAAGATAAAAAAGAAAACCTCCAACAGACCAAGGGCTCAGTCAAAGCCAAGGTGCTTCAGGGCCTTAACAGGGTAAGTAACAGGGTGCTGAGGAAGGAATGGGAGCAAGACTTGCACAGTTTTCTCACGGTCCCTAGAACCCAATACAAGACTCCAAACAAAGCAAGCAGGGTGCAGGTAGAGGAGCTCCAGGGTCTAGTTCCCACCTTGAACGTTCAACACTTTTTATCCCATTTCCCTCCCTGTGAACCAGGCTGGCCTTGAACTCACGGAGAGCCACCTGCGGAGTGCTGGGATTAAAGGTGAGCGCCACCACCCGCCCGGCTCATTTCTAAACCTTGAAGGGCAAAGTGGATTCACAGATAGGAGGAATAGTGGGAATGTAAGTAATGCAGAGACCCCGGGGTTGAGGATGACTGTATGCTGCAAGCCTCCTGGATGCTCGTGCCAGATCGTCTCACTGAGACCCTCCAACAGGGGCAAGTGAGGTTCCGACTCCTCCGCTCTACAACAGGCAACTGAAGCCCAAAGACGTGTGACCTGCAGAGTCCAGCAGTCGAGTCGAGGATTTAAACACAGTTACTCTGATCCCAAAGCCCAGCTAGAGAACTAGGGATAGCACACAAATTCTCTTCCCTGTCCCACTCTGCTTAAGCTATGTCTAGACATCACGTGACCCCAGGCTCAAGGGAAAGAGAACGAACTCTTTATTTCTCAGGGTTGCCTATAATAGTGTTGGCCCTCTCATCCTTCTGGAGTCTGCTTACTGCTGCCTCACCTCATCCCTTCAGACTTGGGGACAGTGACAGCTTTGCCACTCAGTCTCAAGCAGGGGCAGTACAGCAGTTTATCCTGCAATGCTAGAGGGCGAAGGGGAAGGAAAACATTCAGCCAGAAGCTCATACCTCTTCCAGCTCTGTCCTCCTCCTCCAAGTGATACTTTGAGGCACGGCCTGGGCTTCAATCACACAGCTGCACTCCATAGACTGCAGTGCTCCCAGGAGCTGGCCCCCGCCTTCCATCTGTAAAAGCACTGCAATAGATTTAGAAAGGGCTGGTCATAGGGGAGTCCAGGACACAGTCCGCTGGGCTCAGGGGAGAAGCTGGAATCTGCGAGAACCTGGGTCCAGCACCACCACAATGTGCTTCATGCATTCCTCTGGCCTCTGGGCTTTCAGCCTATTGACCACCGCTGTCCTCTGTTTCTTTTCAGGCTGCCTTGGGGTGTTTTCCTTCCTGCTTGCTTGTCGTGGCTGCCAGCATCCCTGAGCGCCACTTCTCTGGACCTTCTGACTGTGCCTGGTTCTCTTCTGAGGTAGAGGGATGTCCGGAACTGGATTGGTTACTGCCAACTCACTGCAGGCTGACTGGTACGCTGGCAGTTGATGGCCAGGACTGTCTAAGACAGAGTCCCCGTCATTTGCTGGGCTGTTCTCTAAGGCATCGTGGAGAGGACCATCAGGGATCTTTGGGAATGGCTGCTTTTTCCAGTCACTCAGTCCACTTATATCACGTTGATGATCTGAAACAGTTTTAAGTGAGGAGCTAGAGCGCTCAGGGATCAGCTGCTTGTGGGTCAAAAACTTACACGAGATCCTCTCAGCCAGGGGGACAAGTACATCTTCATCCTCACTTCCGCTGCTTAGCACTCTGATGGGCCCTGCCTGTGTGAGAGCTTCAGCTGCAGCTAGGACAAATGGTGGATCTTCCAAGCCAGGTGAGGGAGGACAGGAGGCCTCAGAATCTGAGGTGACAACCAATACATTCTTTTCCCTTTGAGGCTGAATCCTGTCAGCTGAAGATGGCTCCTTCTTCAAAAAGGCAAATGTGGGCAATTCCTCAGAATCACTCTCCGAGGAAAGCAGCAAGAGGGATGGCTTTGTTAGCGACATCAAGTTAGTTGCCTAAAAGGAAAGATGAGAACATACATTAGACCATTCAAGCTGGTCCACTAGAGGTGCTCATGTGGCCAAACTTTAGGAAAATAAATATGTTAAGAGAATCAGAGAAATAGAACATACCCCAACAGATTGAATAATCTGGAACTCATGGCCACACTGGTATGCCAACAGGATTCCCGCTTTAAAACCGAAATTTCTAGGTCATGGTGAGCTATAATCAAAATACAGTTACTATTACAAAACTTTAATGGAGCTGGGCGGGGGTGACACACGCCTTTAATCCCAGCACTCAGGAGGCAGAAGCTGGCTGATCTCTGTGAGTTTGAGACCAGCCTGGTCTACAGAGCTAGTTCCAGGATAGGCTCTAAAGCTACAGAGAAACCCTGTCTCAAATACCAAAAACAAACAACAACAAAAAAACCCCACCCACTTTAATGGAAATACTAACAAAACACAATGCTAGCCCCTTGCTGATCTCTGTATTTGACAGTTTTCTGTTTTCTTTTTGAGAGAGTCTGATGTAGCTCAGGCTGGCCTTGAATTAGTGTGGCTGAGAAAGACTGTGAACTGATCTCCTGCATCTCACAAGTGCTGGGACTACAAGTACACACAATAATTCCTGGGTCCACATGGAGATCATGAAAAAACTTTCTAAAACTATTTCTGTATGTGTGTGGGCATGTGCACACCCCAGCCCACATGCGGCAACCAGAGGACTTCCAGGAAGTTGACTTTGTCCTTCCACAGTGTGAGCCCTGGGGTTGAACCCACATCATCAGCCTTGGCAGCAAGCACCTTTTACCCTTTGAATTTACCCTTTGAATCATCTCTCTGGCCCCTAACATGGAGATCTTTCAAAAGAAAATAATAAATAAAAACCATGCTGGTGCTGGAGAGAGAGCAGTTAAGAGTTTATACTGCTCTAACAGAGGACCACGTTGGGCAGCTCTCACAACCACCTGTAATTTCAGCACCAGGAGGTTCAATGCCCTCTTATGACCACCACGTACACATAAAATAAAAACAAATGAATTTTTAAAAAACATACGCTAATAACACGAAGCAACAGGCAAAGATGCATGATGCATGTCACCTAGCCAGGTAACTAGAGTTCAGTCCCCAGAACATCAATGGTGGAGGGAGAAATGACTCCTGAAGGCTGTCCTTTGACCTCCACATGCGTGCCTCTGCACATACCTGAGTGTGCTTATGTGCACAGACATACACACATGGAAAAAATAATAATTCACATACTTTTTATTAGAGTTCATATTTATAAGTCACATAAACAGTTTATAATATTTAAAATATACTTTAGGAGTTTGAGTAATAGCTCAGTGGTGCAGTGCTTTCTTAGTACGAATAGGGCCATGCATGGGTTTAATCCCCAGGGAAACAAATAAAGCCCTAATACAGATTCGTGGGGTTTGATACATTTGTGTTCTTTAACCATTACCATCATCTAATTCCAGAATGTCTTCATCACCACGAAAAGAAATTGTATATAAATTGGGCAGGCTGGCGCACAGCTGCAATCCTGCCTCGTGGGAGGAAGATACAGAAGATACAGGAGGATGTTTTGAGTTCAAGGTCAGCCTACACGATAGTGTAGTGGTGAGACTATCTCAAAAGAGAGATTCCAGAACCATCAAAAAGTCATTGCCCATTCTTTCCCTATCCCAGCACCTAACAACCAAAATAAAGCCTATTATCTCTATGGACTTCTACATTCTGTATATTTCATATAAGCACAGTCTTTTGTCGCTGGTGTCTTTCACGGTCACGCTTTCAAGTCCTTTTGTGAGAGCATTGCCTTCCTTTTTATAGCGGAATACTATTCCACTGTGTGCATAGACCACATTTTGCTTAAGCATTTATTGCTTGATAGGCAGTTTGCTTCCCTTTCTTGGCAGCTATAAATAATGTTTCTACAAACACTCATGTACAAATGTATTAAATGAGTATGTTTTCACACTTCTCCTGTGTATACTAAAGCCTGCCTGAACTGCTGGGTTACACTCAAGAGTCGTTCTATCAGCAAACAGTGACTGTAGGTGTGGCCCAGGATAATCCTTGAAAGATTCCCTTCCTGGATCTCGGTTTCTTTAACACAGTAACAGTAATTTAGGTTTGTAGGAATTAAATGAAAGTGTGCATCTACGACCAAACCAGTTTAGTACAGAATCTGGCTGAGCCTCATCCTGGTACCTCCTTAGGCTTCGGGTGACTCCCGCAGGGGGACGAATGCCCGTTCCAGACATGCTCCCCGCCTCTGAGGCCAGCGGTCCATCGCAGAAGCCCCCAGAGGTACTGGCCACAAAACCCAGGAAATCGGCGCTCACCTGCTACTGCTCCCGCCACTCTTTGAATTGTACGCAGGATCCGGAAGTAGAGCCTCCGGTAGCGGAAGCAGGTTTCCCAGCCCGGAAGCGAATGCGAAGCAACAAGCATGGCGTCGGCAGTGCTTGCCCTGAGGACGAGGGCAGAAGGTATCTCAGCGCTGTGGTTGTTGTGGGGCGAGCAAGCAGGGAGGCTGGGAAATGAAAACTAGATCCAAGGTGAACCCTAGATGCCAAAGGAGAGAGGGACTCACGACCTTTGGAGGCGGGCTGTCTCCGGTAATGTGGCTCGTGGTGGGCGGTGCTGAAGAAGAGTCAGTTCAAAAAAGTTCATCGAGTCATTATTCAGGATTTAGCTGTTGTTTTTGTAATGTAGTTTGCGTCTTAGTGCTGAGTTTTCATGGCCCGTGCTCAGGTCTGGTGAGACGCTGTGGAGTGTATCAGCATAAAGATAATTGTTGTTACCCCTGTGAGTTCAGTGGGTACGACAATAAACACGTAAATACTTAGCTGTAGTTGTGATGAGCGCTGTGGAGAATCCTAGATTAGGTCTTCAAGGAACTCTTCTGAAGGGATAATTATTAAGACCTGAAAGAGAGATCCAACCATCTGCGGAAAGAGCAAGAAAGTGACTCGATCCAGTTTTATATTTTGAGTAGCAAGTTACGAGGGGGCGGGATAGATGCAAATAAATAACAAGGAATGAAAACGAAATGAGGTAGAAATGAGGGTGCTTGTAATCCCTGCACTTAGGCGCCTGAGGCAGGAGGATTGTCTCATGTCCAAGGCCAGCCCAGCTCACATTCCTAAAAACTATAAATAAATAAAATAATCATCATGGCAAACCATGGAAAGCTGGACTAGTAGCCTTGCCATAGGATAATTTGGCCAGGATATTAATGGTGATGGTCATGTACTCGGAGGAACGTGGATGAATATGGCATCTGTTCTGAAGATGGACTCCACAAATCTTACTGGTCTGTGAAATGCGGGGAAAAGGAGTAACCCGCAGGTTCTCCTTGTTTCTCACAAGAGCAAAGGTGAATGAATGAAGCAATGTAGATGAGCAAAACGTCGGTCACCCATTAAGTCAGTGACTGAAGCCAGGTAGTGCATGCCTGTAACTAGTTTTTGTGTGAGGCTAAGGCCTGAGGATTGCAAGTTCAAGGCCTGCCTGGGCTACAGAGAGAGAGAAAAAAAAAATGGATGTTTAAAATTAGAAAGATTCCAATGGTGAATATTGAACATGTCTCTGTAAGTTCTTTTTTCTTTTGTTGTTAGGTATATATTTTATTTATTTATTTATTTATTTATTTATTTATTTATTTATTTATTT